TAAGAGAGCCCCCACTTTCACTAATTGAGTAATTGCTTTTTACTAATATTGTGACTTTTTTTTAATTCTTGATTTTTCTAGGGACTATTTTACATTTCAGCTGCTTTTGTTTTCTTCTGCTATCATTGAGGGTTCAAGGAAGCGTAAACCTTCAGGTAAAACGCCTGACCGGTGGTAGCGCTCGGCATGGTGCTGCCTGGAAAGATGAACTCCTGTTTGAATGCTTGTCTGGAAGGGACTGTGCTGATTTAGACTTGTGCATGGAGTCCTGGCTGCCTGACACTCGGCCTTGGTTTGGTTTTGGCTTTGGAGACTTTTGGCTGTCTGCTTTTCTTCATGTTGTCTTGATCCACAATAACTATATGGATATGTGCTTGGACCTGCTAAATATTTTCATTTTGCATAGTTGGCTGCTTGAATTGTAAGAAATCTCTTTGGACAATGCAAACTTAAAGAGCTTGAGAAGCTGGAAGTGAAGTATCAATTTACGAAAGTTTATAATTAGCTTTGAAATGTATGTTCATTAGCTAGTATATATTTTGAGGTTTGATATTTTACCACAAGCAAAGCTGAAAATTCAAGAGCTGATTCAATTCTGTATGTGGCCACTGTAGATAACACAGATAATACTGTTTCTTTTATAATAAAACCTGTTGTTGGCCAGGATTGCTTTAAGCTGTTGAAGAAGTGGAATGTGAGTGACTTTGTACTACCATCTTTATAATGTATGATTAATTCCTAATGATAAAGTGGGACCAAGGGCTGGAGAGAGATGGTTGGTAGTTAAAGGTGTCCTGCTCTTACAGAAGCCCTGGGTTCAATTCCTAGCACTTATATCAGGCAGCTCACAACTGCCTGTGATTCCAACTCTGGGGGAATTCAACACCTCTGGCCTGAGGGCACTAGCATGCACAGAGTTTTTAAATAACTAAGCTAAAAAAAGAATACTTTTTCTAAATATGTGGTCCTCTCTAGCTTGAGAATTTCATACATTGACGGTTGTTCTAAAATTATTCATTTGTTTCAATATTTATGCTGCTTTAATTTGAAAGTTTTTAGAAATAAAGTGAAATTATTCCTTAGAGCAAAATTCATGCAGTAAGCAAAAATCTACTAAATTAGCTAACCTAAATCTAAGTTTGGTCCTAGAACACAACTAATTTAGTGCTTCTGTTAAGTTACTTTACTTCTTCGAGCTTTATTGCTCATGTGTAAATGTAGATGACAATCTATATTATATAAGATAAACATAAAATACAAGTAACTCCAAAAGAATATAATAAAGTGCCGGTTTGTATTGCTTTCTGCGAATGAAGCCACGGCATATGCCATATTGGGCACAGTCAATTGCATGCTGTTCTGTTCTGGCCGTTGGAATGGGTGTATAAAGATGTTAACTAAGTCAGGATTATCTCAGATGATCCCGGCCAACATGGTTCTCTGAACAACTGGCATATATCAGAATGAGGAAGAAAAAGGCTAGGATGCTAATTGGCTTTGATTTGTTTGTTTGTTTGTTTGTTTTTAAGAAGTCCATAAAGTACTTCCTAATAATAAAACAGATTTCATCTAGTGTTTTGTTACTTAAAAAGTATTTTACATAATTTTAAGATCTTAACTATAATGTTTTGAGTATATTTCCTATGTTAATACTAAAGACAAGTAATACGATGTTTCAGAGGTTGACTTAGTCAAATTACTAGCAAAATGAAAATCTGTATTAAGTTTTCCGTTTTCAACTTTTTAATTTAGTTTTTTGTTTTTGAGACAGGACTTCACTATATGTAATCCAGACTATCCTCAAGAAACTCACCATTGTAGACCAGCTTGGTCTCAAACTCATGGAGAGATACCTCTTGCCTCTGCCTCCCAAGTGCTTGGAGTTGAGGCATGTACCACCATGCCCAACCCATAAATTTTTTCTGGGTGGTCTCATCCCCCTCTCCAATTTCTCACTGTGTACCCTAGTTGTCCTTAAATAACTTCCTCCCATCCTGACCTATTAAGTGTGGTTATAGGACTGTCCACCATGGCCAGCTGGACTTCAGATCTCGTGAGCTTCCTACTCTGGCCTGTTGTTCCTGCCTCACCCCTTTTTTAATGATCAGTCCCCTTTCTGAAGCAGATGTACATTGTAAAATGCAGAGAAGCTCGGGTATCTGCTTCTGTATTGAGATAGAATGCACCCCTCCCCCAAGGGATTCTGGCATCCACCTCTTGTTAAAAGTCATCGTCTTAACTTTCCCTTTCCTTTATCTGTATGTGAAAATTAATACATACATTATAGGGAACCAGAGATATCGGATGGTATACAATGTACCAGTTCCTCTCTTAACTGCTCCAAATGTGTTAGGTCGGTGATGGACACTTTGAAAAATGCAGTTTAATTTTTTTTATGGGGGGCTTTAAATTTTGAAAATCTGAGCATTTTTTCTTGAGACAGTGATTATGAGGTTTTATTTAAGGATGAACATATCCTAACTTAGTTGCTTACCAGCATTGAGTAGCTGGAGTGTTAGCATTGGCTTTTAGTTGTCTGCTAGAGTTTTACAGGAAACTGTTTTCAGCAGAGGCTGACCTTTTGACTATAAATTGCTGTCTGGGGTGTTTGTGGGTATGCTTGTCTTGATACTGCAAGTACAGTTGCCATTGTACTGGAGCGGAATAGAATTAAAGATCAAAATAACTGGCTTTAATACAGCATGCAGAATTAAGGCAGACAGTATCTGAGTGTTCATACTTGTACCCATCAAGTTAAAAGAGCATTATATAGAATTCTTAAAATGTAATTCTTATAGTCTTAAAATATAATTTTATAGATGTGATTTGCCATTTTATGAGTTTTATAGGTAGAATAAAATACTATTTTTAAATAAAATTTTAATTAGATGTTTTAGCTTTAATAAATACTAAAATTATCATAGCAAAGTCTTTTAAAAATACTTATTGTAGTAAAGAAATGAAACTTGGTTATAGTTGGCCTAGAAATATTAGAAGTCAGTTGTTTTTCTTTGAACCATATATTTAGAGCTTGTTTCTACATATTTCTATTTCATGTTGAAGCTGTAATGTGGAGTTACGGGAAAATGATTTTCAAATGCTTATCTCATTTGTCTTATTTTGTGATGGAATTCTGGGTGCATTGTCACTCATCTAGGAGAGACTGACATATTTTACAATCAGTGTGTGCTGCAGTTTTGCTTGCTTTTGTTTCTTTTTGAGACATGGTCTCTGTATGACCCAAGCTAACCTTCAACTTGCAGTAGTCCTCTTGCCTAAGCTTTCTATGTACTAGGATTATGTGGCATCACTTAAGAGGTATATTTGTCTTACTACTTGGGTTATAGAAAACCAATCTTATAATTATTTATGGGTTGCGTTAGAAGCAGTGCTTCAGTTTCAAAGCTTGTTAGAAATTTCATTTGCAGGTTTGTTTGGTTTTATATTGATTTGTCTTTTTGGATAAAATCTATACAGTAGAAATATACTTTTTTTTTTAGAATTACAAACTTTTAAAAAGTGTTTTTTCTGTTTCACAATGCTGAGGATGAAACCCATCATCTTTTGCTCTCCCTGCTGTCTTAGAGCTTTAACTGTAAATTAGGTCCTTAAATGATAGGCTAGACACTGAGACTTCACTGGAGATAGAGAAAAGGAGCAGGGGGGAGACAGAAGAGAGTGTTCTAATATAGGGAGAAAACAGAAAAGGGAAAAAGGCTTGGGTCCAGCAAGGGTTGACGATAGTGCTCCCTCCAGGGTCAGCCGAAAAGCAGCGAAGTTCAGGACCTTAGGGAAATGGTGTAGCGCGTTCTTTCGTCCCTGCATTAGTTGCTGATCACGATGCCGTAGCTTATGAGTGCTGATACCTGTTTTGTTCACGGAACTTGTTCATTACCAGGCTATTCTGTGAACCAAAATAGACTATTTGCCCTCCATCTGTGGTCTCAGAATGAGCCGTTGAGAGGGAGCCACACTATTTTCTGCAGGTTTTTATTCATGATGGCATGATTTTCAGCATTTTTAAAGGGCACAAAGGATACCTAGCTAACAAGCTAGTTCAGACAGGGTTAAAATTGAACGTTAAACTGGGTGTAGTGTTGTGTATACCTTTATCCTCAGCACCTAGGAGCAAAAGCAGAGGCAGAGGAGGCTCTCTGTACATTTGAGACCAGCTTGGTGTACATAGTGAATCTGGGTCATCCAGGACTGCATAATAAGTAAGAGCCTATCTCAAAAATAAATATATGTAGAGAAAAATAACATTAAGAATTAAATTACAATTTTAGAACCCTTTAAAGGAATATCTGCTTTGTAGTAAGGGGTTTCCCCTTGGGATATTTTAAACACCATAGAGTTTCCAAGATACGGTCAGCACTGTCTGGCAGCCTCTTGGATCACCTTCTGGGGTTGGCGTGGTATTGTTAATGGGAAGGGCTGTGAAGAGTTTTCTCCTGTGCTGGTCTCTGAAACACTTAAGTTTCTAAAGTCACTTTTCAGAATTTAAACAAGAGCACTGATATCCTTCTGCATTTTATTTTTGAGATAAGCAGCTTTTTTAGCAGTTTCCTGTTTGGGAAACAAAGTGCTTTTTGTTTCCTTTAATTAAAAAAAACTTATAATGGTGTTCGTGTCTTCTCAGCCACACTACACTGAACTTTTTTTAACTGTCTTGGACACTACACTAATATTGATACATAGCAGAAAGAATATTGATTCCATATTACACATGAGTGAGTTGTTGACTTTTTCTGGATCAGAATCTTGCGTAAGTTGAGAACTTTTGTAGTCTGTCCTTGCTTCCTCCTATGCCTCAGTGAAATGGGAATGCGAGGTACTGCCCAGAAGCAGTTGATTTGATGAGCTTCACTCAGTAGAACAGTACTTTGAGTACAGGTGCTGAGTGCTATATAGCTGTACCAGGTGTGGTAAGTCATTGTCTGGTGGCCTTTGGTCTTCAGCTTGATGGCTAGCCTTGTACTGAACTCATTTTGTCTTCACAGAGGATGTGCTGAGTAAAGATGCTGGGGAATGTGCAATATGCCTTGAAGAATTGCAGCAGGGAGACACCATAGCACGACTGCCTTGCCTGTGTATATATCATAAAGGGTAAGTTTAGTATTGCTTAGCTACGTTGATTGATATTAAAGCAAAGTGATTATTTTCTTTGTTTCAAACATTGTAGGTGAGGCTGAAAGGTCACTTCATTCAAACTCTTCTGCTCAATTTAGAATCCCCACCAGCCTCCCCTTGTCTCCCTTGCTCAGAACAGACATCTGTTTTATCTAAAAGACTGCCGTTTTTAAAGCACTTAGTGTGGTGCAGGTGTTTTCAGTGAGGTCAGCAGGTGGTCTGTGTAAGCCTTAGCAGCCGCTTCACTTTACAGTGAGACTGTAGGGAGTTTCTTTCTCCAGGCCTCTATTTGTAGCAAATGACAAGCCGAGATTTCAACAGATTGGGGACTCCAGGAGATTGACTCAAAAGCCCATCTGGTCTTGTATATGTTCTTCTTGCTTTCAGAATAATACAGGACAGTTTTTAGTTTACAAAGCAAGGCTAGGCGTGGTAGGGCACCTTAATCACAGCACTTGAGGCAGCAGCAGGTGGGTCTCTGAATTACTGGTCAGCCTGGTCTACACAGTGAATTCCAGGGCTGATAGAGAGAACCTGTTGCAAAAAGCAACCACTACTTAAGGTAGCAGCCACATACAGAAGAGAAAACTGGGGACTGGAGAGTCGACTCAGGGGTTAGGAGCACATACTGGTCAGCTCAGTTCCCAGCACCTGTAACTCCAGCTTTTGGGGCGGGTATACGCAGTGGGGTCCAACACCTCTGGCCTCAGATGGCACCAGCACTCAAATGCACATGTCTACACATATGCACACAATTAAAAAATAATAAGATACATTTAAATTTTTAAAAAGAATAGGAAATTGTAGCATTCAAATCAAGGAAAAATGTGTAATTTTACTTAAGAATGGAGGGGGTAGCAAAAACAGAGAAATCAGAGTAAATAATTCTAAATAAGGAGACAAAAAATCCAAACTTACCAGTAACTGTATGTATAAGAATAAACTGAAAGTAGGTGAAGTATTAGAATATGATATTGATAAGCAACATGCTTTAAAGGTACAGACAAATACAGAATTAAAAGGGTAGAGAACTATATCCAGGCAATAATAACTAAACTAACAATATGAACAGTAGGTACCAACATCACACAAAGTAAACCATCAAAGGAAGCATTACTTAGAATAGAGTTGCTGAAAATTTTTCTTGGTGATCTGTTAGAAAAAACTGATAGTTGTGTTATCATAATGGGAAAAATTTAAATTTCCGTGACTAAATAAGTAAAATAAATGAGTCACAATACAGAAAAAAATAAGCCATTTCAGCTCGCCAAGTTTTGATTTTGTTTGTTTTTGCAGATAGAATCTAACTGCATGGCCCAGGATAGCTTCAAAATTACCATGTAGCTTAGACTGCCCTCACACTTGCTCCTCCCTCAGCCTCCTGAGAGCGGGTGTTTGGGGTGTACTCCTGCACCTGGCTCCTGGCTTTCCAGCCCCTTTTCATTCTTGGTACCGGAGATAGAACTCGGGGCCTTGCAAGAACTATCAGTTGTGTTTTAATCCATAAACCATCTCCGCAGACTCTTACAACTGACACCATACAGAACTCCGCAGACTCTTACAATTGGACACCAGGAATGACGGCAGAACTCATTCTTAGATATCTTTCTGAATAACATATAAATCAAAGAACAAATCATAAGGGAACTTGGGCATCACTTTAAACTGGGCAGTGAAGAACAGTCTGGACATGAGCCAACTGTGAGTAGTTAGATTTCAGAGTAGATGGTGGGAGTCATCAGAGCAGCAGCAAACAGAGGATGCTGGATAAGAAGGATCTCCAAAAGGTGAAGGTATAATTCTCAGAAAAACTGTAACAGAATGTCTCCAGAAGGAGAAAATAGAAAAGGGCATAATTTGTCACAAATTAAGAATAGCATTCTTGAGTTTAGAATGTTAACAAATGGACAATTTTCTTAAACATTTAATTTTATAAATAATGATTTAAAAACTTGAACCCTCAACTGACTGCTTTAAGAAGTTAAGTCTAACTCTGAAGAATGGCAAGCATTGATTGGAGAAGAGCAAACAAACCCTAAAGCAGGCCTTCAGAGATGATTTGACAGTGAGTTCTGCCCTGCAGAGAATAAAATGGAGAACAGCAGAGATTTGACAGCAGACAAGGACCGTGAGCATAGGAAACTTAAAGTGCAAACATGCAGATTTAACAGTGCCTGTCTAAAATAGTATCTTGTGCTAGGGATAAGCTCAGTGGAAAAGCACTTGCCTTAGGTCCTGGAGCCAACTGCCAGTAACACACACATACAAAGAATAAACAAATGAGTGAATGAAATTATGCCTCAAAACCAAATTGGATTTATGCTGGGGATGGACAGATCTATAAGACGAAACCATTAACTCAGTAAATGAGGAAGCTCTAAGGAAGTCTGTGTGTGTTTATGACTTTTGAAGCAAAAATCTCTGAGTACAGAATAGGTAACTTACTAGAACTGGGCCAGTGAGATGGATCAACAGGTGAAGGCAATTGCTGCCAAGCCTGAGAACCCAAGCACCTTCGCGCGCGCACACACACACACACACACACACACACACACACGGATGGGTGTGGACAGACAATAAAAATTATTAAAATCAATGAGAATTTATTGGGTTGCCAGATGGGTGATATGGAAATTGATGCCTTTATGGCCCATAAAGAAAAATAATGAAATAGAATTTTTCTTTAAATAGTAACTTTAAAAATAACAGCAAAGGCTGCAGAAGCAATAATGTATTAGGAATAATGTCTAGAAAAGATATATGAGACTTTCCTTTAAAAAATGTAAAACTATTGAAACATAAGGTATCTAAGATTAATATGCATGTAAAGCATGTTGTATATAAAAAACTCAGTATTACAAAAAATTTATACCCTAATTAGCCTATGTAGTTAATGCGATCCCTATCAAATCTAGTTTCTTGTAACTGGATAAAGTGTTTCTAACTAATGTGTGTGTGTGTGTGTGTGTGTGTGTGTGTGTGTGTGTGTGTGTGTGTGTGTGTGTATGTACCGGCAAGTGAAGGGCCAAAGAGCATGGCCATATTTACTTTGAAGAGACCAGACTTTGAAGATATGCCCTGAGAGTTGCAGAAATTAAACAGTACAGATGGTCCATAAACACATGATCCTGAGTGGGGAGCCCACAGCAGGGACATAAGGACACGGATGGAGGCTGCAGTCAGTCCACTAATTAATTTACTATGTGATTTTAGACGGATTTTAATTTTCTTGCTTCTGAATGTTTGAGGTGAAGGCAAAAGTACAAGCTTGGTGTAGTTGTGAGGATTTACATGGGTTAAAATTTGGGTGTTGCTAGCACTAAGTGAGTAGTGCTACGGTGGCATAGACAGAGGAAGCTGCTGATGTGGTGCTAGGATCAATTGGTTAATCAATACGGAAAACCAGTTGAATCATTCTTAAAGCTTGAAATAAAAATGGTGGGTTGTCTCCACAATGCCTGGGAAATTCAAAAGTCTAAGGAAGTAGGGAAAAAAAATAGGAGTTTCTTTTTTACCTTTTGGTAAGAAATTTCCTTTTGCTTAGGATATCCCCTTCCCTCCATCTCCCCAAAATAAGCTTAGGGATGCTCGAAGATGGCTCAGGAGCTGAAAGTACTTTTCTGCTCTTCTTGAGGACCTGGGCTCAACTCCAGCATTCACATGGTGGCTCAAGCGTCCTATAACTCCACTTCCAGAGGGTTTGACTCCCTCTTCTGACATCCAAGGGTTCATGCACACACATGGTACCCTACACACATTTAGAAACATACATAGACAAATTTAAAAGATAAACTTAGAAGATTGATAGCGCTGTTAAAAATTGTAGCATATTTGCATTTGAGATACAAACTAGACTTTGTAGTCTAGATGGCTCATAACATGACTACAAAAGTTTTGTGTTTTAAATACACACAGTTCTTTAGTAGTTGCTGTGGCAGATAATGCTTGAAGTTGGCAGATAGAAGCATGATAGTGTAATGACATGCTAATACTCTGGTCCATGTGATACCTTTTATAGCACCATAAGTGCTACTTTGTACAGCTGCAGATGAGAGCACACTTTAATACAAGCCATGCAGTAATGAAGTGTTGAAGGGCACTCATCCCCCATGGCCCTGCCTGGATCCCACCAGGCTATGTGTTTCAAAAGAGCCCAGGTCACAGTTCTCAGTTTTATGGGCATTGTCTTTTGTCTTCATGACCCATCAGTCTGGATTCTTCTTTAATTACACATAACAATAAACTCATTACATTCAAAAAGTACAGTACTTATTAGAAATGAACATGTCTTTGTTTTGGTAACAGATTATGTTGTGTGGTCTGCCTTTAACCTGATTTTTAACATCCAACCTTGTTAGAGTTTATGGGTTTTGTTTATTAAAAAGCACTATCTAGTGCCAGGTGTGATAGTGTTTACCTGTATTTCCAGTATTTAGGAGGCTGAAGCAGAAAGATCTTCAATTTGTGATCAGCGAAGCAACACCATGTTTCAGATCCCTGACCCAACCCCCAATATATATTGTAAATGAGATACCTAACTAATAGTAGCTTCTTGAAAATCTGTATGGGGAGAAAAAACCCTATGGAACATTAAAAAATAAAAAGAAGAAAACTTTGTGGCTAGTGAGATAGTTCAGTGGGTAAAAGTGCTCACCCCAAGCCTGACAACCTGAGTTTGATGCCCAGGACCCACAGGTGGAAGGAAAGAACTCACTCCCCAGTGCTCTGGACACCACATGGTCACTAAAGCACACACACACACAAGCCCATAAATGAATAAATTGCAATAAAACATTTTTGAAAATGAAAAATTGTTAGCAATTAACTTAGTAAAGAGGCATATACTACAGTTACAGTGTATATGCCATTAGTTAGTCATTCTACTCTCAAGTCTGTGCTGCGGAAAACATCTAGAGAGAGCAACTACTGCCCAAAATTAAGACCAAGAGGAAAGAAGGCATCTAAACCAGGATGTGACCCAGCACTGAGAAAGCCTTGTTGTGGCTTTCTAAAAGGCCGCTGATTCAAACTAATTAGTGACAAGATTAATTTATAATTTTCGTGACCTTTCAGAGACTTCATAGATAATTGTGAATGTTTATAGTAAAAGAATAGATAAGTAAATTGTGATATACTCTTTGTCATTATTTATTTTGAAATAAGATCTCACCAAGTTTTCCAGGCTGGCCTCCTTAGACCTAAAATCTTTCTACCTCAGCAACCCAGACAGCTTGGATTATGCCATGAAATCCATGTGCTATACTTATATATAATGGAATACAAATTTAAAAGCACTTAAGAAGGAAAATACGGCATAATGTTTATAGTAGCACTAATTTAGGTTTTGAAACATGGGATAATACTGTATGTTTTTAGAATACATTCCTTTAGAGTTACGTGGTAAGAAAATGCCTGAGAATATAAAGTATTAAATTCAGAATACTGATTTCCTGTTGGAACTGCTAGGAGAAAGGGGTTTCAAAGTAAAAAAAAAAATGAATAGGTGGTTTATAATAGAAACTATGTGAATTGATACTAGTTTACATGAAATGGGATTGGAAGTTATTTACTGCCTTTGATGAGCCCACATTACATGGCTATAAAGTAAAAAGCCGTCTTAAATCGCACAAGTACTATTGAGATGCTTTAGGAGCTTTTTTTCTTTCCTGAGACAGGATTTCTCTATCCAACAACTCTGGCTGTCCTGGAACTCACTGTGTAGACCAAACTGGCCGGCCTTGAGTCCCTAAGAGATCCGCCTGCCTCTGCCTCCCGAGTGCTGGGATTAAAGGCGCTCTTGCACCACCACTGCCCAGCGCATTTTGTTTTAAGGTGTATGTTTGTAGATGGGAGGTGTTTTCAGGGTGCAGTGGTATACACCAGACGGAAGACATGTGATAACCAAACTGGGGTGTGATAATTTAGAGTAAATACTATAGTGGTATCTATCATGAGTTGCTTTAGTCGCTTGAAAGACATGGCTACTGAGGTGGTTTACCTTTTTTTCTATTCCTTTCACCTATAGAGCCACCTTGGCAGGGTATAAGAATAGCATATCTTCATTTACCCCTTCAGCATACTAGCTAACCTGGCTTTATGAACATGCAGATATTAATATGTGCTACCAATGAGAACTCTGAGCAGTTTGAATCCTGCATTAGTGACTCATATGCTGCTGGCCGAGTTACTTGTCCTTTGAGGACATTGATGTTATCATTTGCCACGGCTCTGTGAAATTGAGACAATGGGAGAACAATGTGTACTTTTTTGTCTTTGTACAATGAGGGAAATGTGTTATACTGTGCTGACAGTGGAACAGCCATAACGGCATGTCACTACTGAGAGAGCACTTGAAATGGGACAGAATCTGGATTCTGTTGTTAATTAAGCTAATGAACTTAAATAACTACTGCATTGGAGTGCAGATCTATATTAGGGATAATTATGTGCTTTGAAGATAGCTCAGTGAAGTGCTTGCCTTGCAAGAATGAGGACCTGGGTTCAATCCTTGGAACACACACAAGAGTTGGTGTGGTGACAAGCACTTAACAATGTAAGTGCTATGGGGTGGAGATGGACAGCTAGCCTCACTCACCTGATTAGTGAATTCCAGGCTAGTGACAGGCCCTGTTTTTGTTTTTGTTTGTTTGTTTTGTGTGTGTGTGTGTGTGTGTGTGTGTGTGTGTGTGTGTGTGTGTGTGTGTGTGTAGGGGGTGGCACTTAAAAGGTGGTCAGCACTAGGGGAATGACCTCCAAGGTTGTGTCTGTCTTCCACATGTATGCACACATACATATACAGGCATGTGCATACATATACATACACAAACCCAAAGAAAGAGGATAATTACATGTACCTTGTAAATAATTTCCAGTAAGATCATGAATACTCTATAAATGCAAATAGATTAGGGTATCTTTGTCTGTATATATATATGGACTGCAGAACAAGGTGGAATGAAAGGTTCAATAATTACATATAAGCATGGAATTTTTAAATGTTATACAATATTGTCAAGAATTAAAATTTTGAAGCTATTTTTATTACGTTGATAGGCAAGCTGAAGAGCCCTGTATGTAACATTTTGAAAAGGAAATGTTTTTGTAACTCTTTTGAATATTAATGAAATGGTAGTTCTTTAAGGGAACTTTTTATATGTGAAAGTGTGTCATAGTATAGTTGTTCGAGGATTTCCCCTTTAATAATGTAAAATAACTAGAGTATACTTAACATCTTTTTACTGTATTTGTCAGGTGTGATCATTAAAAATACTGATTTTTTTCTCCTTAAAGGCACTAAAGTAGTAGATATTTTTATTATGACTGTTAAGATCTAATTATACATAGGATTTACACTTTTCTGGTTTTGTTCTTTTCTAGCTGCATAGATGAATGGTTTGAAGTAAATAGATCTTGTCCAGAGCACCCTTCAGATTAAGCATCAGATTCCTGTGTTATGGGTAATTGTCCCTTTTTTTGTTTTAATTGATTTATAAAATATTATTTTGAATTACTATTTCATCTTCAATTTTTTTCAGATATTTTAGTGTGTGTGTGTGCCTGTGTGTGCGCACACGAGAGTGCCTGCTGCCTGTGGTCATGCACAAACCTTGGCATGTGTGTGAAGGTCAGAGGACAGCCTGCCTGCAGGAATTGGTTCTGTCCTTCTGTTGTGTGGGTTCCGTGCATTGAACTCAGGTTCTAACGCCATCACCTTTGCTGCTGAGCTATCTCTCAAGCCCTCAGCTCTAATTGTTATCCATCCATTTTCTCACTGAGGTACACTGTTTGCTGTGTTTCTGGTCTGTGTGTACTTTCTAGGTATTTTTTTTTAAGACTACTATATAAAAACTCAACATTTAAAGATAAACTAAGGAGGCTAAGAATCTTGCTCAGTGTTATAATACACATAACTGTCACAAGCCCCAAGCTTAATCTCACCATAAACCACTCCCAAAAAAAAAACTGCAAAAAAATAAATAAATAAAAGGAACTGTTCTAACTGTTCTTAATTCTTGAATAGTTAGGTATTGAGTAACTAGAATACTCTTGGTACTTAAAAATACATTTTTTTATTTTAAAGTTTAATACTAGGAGGAAACAAACAGTAAAGTACATGTCATGACATTTTCCAGGAAGAATTCTTTTGGGTCAGAGAGGTTAAGTCCTATGACTTTCAAAAACAAGTTATACCACACTCATCAAAGTGTCTGTTGTATACGTACAACTTTTTTCATATCATTTACATCTGAGTTAAGTGATTTAAAGAAAGAGGGCTGAGGGCATGAAGACCTGAGTTCAGATCCCCAGAACCCAAGTGAAAAGCTGGTCAGGTGGTCCTCACTGAAATCCTGGTGCCAGGAGCAGAGTGGAGAGGCTCCCTGGGGCTTCCTGGCCAGCTAGTTGGCAACCTCCAGATTTAGTGAGAGAGACCTGCATTAAAAATAAGGTGGAGAGCAATTGAAGAATGTATTGAATGTTGGAATGCTTCAGAGAACTGAGAGACTCCATAATCAAGGTGAGAACACAGCCAGCCAGCAGTAGACTTGCTGAGCAGCTGTGACTAGATGTTGGGGGTGTTGTTCTGGGGTCTGTTCTCTGCTGTCCTTGCATAATTTCTTGTGTTTTTAGGCTACCAGGGTGCTCATCATGTGTGCTAGCTAGTTTTATGTCAACTTGACACAAACTAAGGTCAACAGAGAGGAGGGAACCTCAATTGAGAAATTGCCTCCAGAAGATTAGGCTGTAGACAAGCCTGTAGGGCAGTTTCTTAATTAGTGATTGATGTGAGAGGAACCCATCCCATTATGGGTGATGTGCCATCCCTGTGCTGGTGATCCTGAGGGTTTTGGGTTTGGGTTTTTTTTTTTTTTTTTTTTTTGGTTGTTTTTCAAAACAGGGTTTCTCTATGGCTTTGGAGGCTGTTCTGGAACTAGCTCTTGTAGACCAGGCTGGTCTCGAACTCCACTTGCCTCTGCCTCCTGAGTGCTGGGATTAAAGGTGTGTGCCACCACAGAAGAAAGCAGGCTGAGCAAGCTAGTAAGCAGCACCCCTCCATGGCATTTGCATCAGCTCCTGCTTCCAGGTTCCTGCCCTGTTTGAGTTCATGTCCTGACTTCCTTTGATGATGAACAGTGATGTGGAGGTGTAAGCCAAATAAACTATTTCTTTCCCAACTTGCTTTTGATCATGGTGTTTCACCACAGCAATAATAATCATAACCAGAACACTGGGTAAAGGTGCCTGTCACCAAGCCTGCTAACCTGCATTCCATCCCTGGGACCCGCATGATAGGAGAGAAGCAATTTCCCATGTTGTTCTCTGACCTCCACCTGTGTGTCTGCCTCCACAGACAATAAGTAAACGATGTAATTAGTGTCTCTTGCTCTTTAGCTTAGAAGCCTAGGTGTTGAGGTGATGTACTCAAGAAACTTAGTTGCCTCTTTGGTGAGGATAACTCAATGATAATAGATTCTGAAGTGATAACTGAAGCTGGGTACACGTGAAAGCAAAGGCACTAAAAGACCATCACCTGGGAACTTGGTGGGACCCTAAGTACAAATGGGATAGTGAGATTTCTGGCGCAGAGCTTGTATCAGGGCACGTGTGCATCTGTGCTTTTATTTCACTCTTAGAAAGGTAGAGATTTTACTGTTTTTGTTTTATGGTGTTGGAAATCAAACCCATGGTCTTATACATGCCAGCAGTTCACACTGAGGTACATCCACAGCCCCAATAAAGTTTCCTTTTGTCATGGTTGTTGCTTCAGAGCTTAAACTTAAGTTCTGTTCTGGCTAGGTGATGCCTTGCCACTGAGTTGAATCCCCGACCTGAAAACATTTTCTGGATGGTGAGGATTCTTTGAAATACTGTCAAGTGTTGCCTTGTGTCTGGGTCAGCATAGTTAGGGAAACTTCTGAAGCATCTTAAAAGTAATGCTAAAAACCAGTGCTGGACATGGTGGCAGAAGTTCTGGGTCAGCCTGAGCTACAGGGAGGTAGTTTTAATTTAGTGTTTAACATGCTAAAGTATATCCCTGAATCTGCAGATGGTCATTCCTCAGGTGTCCTATAATGTTAGAAGAGTGGTCATTGGCTCTCAAAGGCTCTGTTGCTCCTGTGATGGAGATAGGAACACTAAGACCTAGTTTTCTCTTTCATGGCCTCATCGATGTCACAGTGAGCTCATGGGATTTTGGAACACATCCCATCTCATAGTCACCAGCATATCTCTGTTAACCTCAGACAATATTTCTGTTTTCTTAACATCTTAGTCCTTTATTTTTAGGGGTATTTCTACACATGTCGCCTGAGCTTGGAGATAAACTTACATGGGATAGGTTGATCTTTCTACACAGCTACCTTCAGAAATCGAAGCCAATGGAGTCTGTTTCTAAAAGCTTTAAGGAGTCTTTTTCTAAGTAGCAAGGCCCTCTATTATATCTACACCATAAGAATTTAATAATTACTAACCCAAAATACAGACATGAATTGCCGTCTTGATTAATTATAAAGTTGCTTCCTGCTTTTGGGGGGGAGATGATTTTATGTTTGAGAAGGTGTGTGTATATGTGTTCATGTGTGTGCTTAAGCACTTAGTGTGGAAAAGGAATGACTTAAGTTTTGCTGATTTCTTAATACTATGTTAAGCTTTAATTGATCATTGTTTCTTGATTTGTTCTGCAGAATAATTTTATAAGTTTCTGACATAGTAAAAGTGGTGGTTTGAAAGGCTATAGTAATAAACACTCTTCATGGGAAAGTGGGTATTGTATTTCTGTTTGTATTACTAGTATTGACCATGACTTAGAATAATTTATTTTTATGCAGGTTTCTTGTCTTTTCAAGATGCTTGAGAAATCTAGAAGATTTGAAGATCTGGCTCTGGAAAACAAATGAAAACTGCAGGCTTTCTCAGTCAGGATCTGAGTTCTGTGACACTCGGTAGTCCAGTGATGGTCAAGGAACCACAGAACTCAGTGTACCAAACTTGCATATAAGGGACACACAGGGATTTTGAAAATGCTGCACATCCTGTACTAGTCACTGCGTAGATAATACTGATGAACATTTTGTATTCAGACGCCAAAGTTAACTAATTTCAAAGTTGATTTACTTTTTATTAAGTTCTGTAGAGCTGCTGTTTTATTGTATTTGTTTTGTTTGTTTGTTTTTCGTTTGGGGACTTTTTATTTTCCCCAACATAATGTTTCTGCATTTACCTATTCTTAACTTGAAAACCACCCAACTTAGTTCTTACAAACTCTTCAATGTGAAACCAAGAAATGTAATCAAAACAGTTAAAATATTCTGTGAATGGAGAGAGAATAGTCTCAAGTTCTTCCATTTGTTTCCCCATGTGTGAAAACTAGGTTTTTGGGTAGGAGAACTAAAATATGTTAGTAGTTTGAGTTAAAGGTTTAATATTATTAAAAAAAGCAAATGCCATCCAAAGAGTAAATCAAGTAACATAATTACATTTTAGTTGATTAAATGTAGAACTGTCTACTGAATTGCAGTTTCTGAAATACATTGTTTCTTCTGAAATAAAACTGCGCAATAGCTTGTTAGCAGTGACCATCCTGCAGCTATGCAACTTTGAAAAGTCCAGATTTGCAGGTCTTTGTGCTGGGGCCGCAGTGACTGTCCTAACGGGGATCTCTCCTTCCTTTCATGTAACTACTTCATTGTGCTTTGCATTTCCAGGCAGTTTTCCCATGTTTGGTAAAATGTTTAGCAAGCTGTAAACTTAATACCTTATGAAAAGGGTGAAATAAACACGTCTGCAGTGGGACTTGTAGTAATTTGAGGGACATTTTATATACTTTTAAAAATCAGAATTTAATTGGGATGCCAGATTTCTAGCAACTTGCATCTTTAGTTTTCCAGATAGTCTGGAAGTTAGCATTTGATAAATGATTTTTAAGCAAATATAAAGATTTTGTTAATTTATAATTTATTAATGTGTTGTTACTGTAATTGAAAATGTTGTGGATACTTTTAAATTGAGTCTTTGTAGAAAGAACTGTATTAAGCAAAATTATGTGAATAAATATTCCCCCAAATACATCTGATGGTTAAGAATACTGAAGAGACCTATCAGGGCTACAGCAGTGAATGTCTTTTTAAATCATTATCAAAATATCAGTAAGTAGGTTTCACGTTTGGTCTCCTTGGGAGATTGCTGCTTCTGGTCTAGTCCACACTGCACAGTCCGCTTCTCTGCTGAGCTGTCCTGGGTGATGCAGTGTGTGCTTCCTGATGCTGATGCTCTTGCCGGCCCCCCCCGCCCCATTTGTTCCCGAGCCCTGTTGCTTCTGCTGCTGCTTTTCCAAAGGAGTGAGGGCAAGAGGGGCGGGGGCAGGGCATAACTGTGTTGCTTTCCTGCGGTTGTAGGCTAGATGATAGTACCTTCCTGAAGTTACACACCATCGGCTACCTGTGTGGTCAGTGGTCAGCCCAGCAGAACCTGAGTGTGAGGGCTGCCAGTATAGCTCCGTAGCTGCCCCCCCGCCCCCCCCCCCCGTCCAGTTATAGGAAGTTACTCTTCCCTCAAGGAAAATTTTCTTTCCTTAAAGTTTTCCTGTTAATATGAAATCTGAATCCATTTTACTTCATCTTTGAGTTTGTATGCTTTCCTCTCCCCTCTGATTTCCCCTCAGGGAAGAGCTCTTAGGATGTGAATAGTCATTTGGCTTCCTACTACTGCTGTATCGTGGTAAGAATTGCTTCTGCCGTTTGCTCTTCTTGGAGAGCAACTGGTAATGACTAAATGTTTAGGAGCCCCTGGAAGGTGATCTGCTTTGTGCCAAGCTCAGCCTCTTGGACATCTCGGCCTAAGTTCACCGCCCTCTCTTCACACTGTCCTTCAGCCGTCTTCGTCGCTTCCGTCTGCGCCTGCTGCCTCCAAGCTCCTGTGGTGTTAGACTCAATGCTGCCATGTCGAGGACACTGACGGACTACACCTGTCTGGACAGTATTTACTGACATCCAGTAAAACAGCCCTTATCTTCCCCTCAAATTTTATAAAGTTGGCATTTTTACTTTATATTCTGTCTGCAGTGATTTCCTATAAAGAATAATTTAGAAATAAAAGAATGGAGAGGAGCTCAGATGTTCCAGTTTCTGCTCAAGGTTACTATTCTGCGAATGTTCTGTAAGTGATACTTTATATAACATTGCTTATAATATTTATCAGTCTGTATGCAGACACTGAGCAACAGTCATAAAATTATACTAGCTATTTGAATATTTATCTGCAACTACTGACAGTAAGTACTATGAAGATGGAATAAAAATTGGGATCCTCACTTACCCAGCCAGTCATCACCTTCTAGAATCTTTGTAAATGTTCTTCAAATGAGGTCACACGTGTGTGGAGAAGTAGATTTTCTATAGTTCCAGTCTGTCCAAGTTGAATTTATTGCAAATTTTTATACTACTTTTATCTGGCTTTTTATTTCCTCTTTGCCAGGAAATGTAAGAGAAGCACTATTCCCTTTAGAAAACCATTCTCTTTCTTTGACTCCTCTCTAGAGAAAAAGACAATGATTTCCAAACCTAGTTACAAAGCAGACTGTAGGGTTGTTTTAAGAAACTGATTGTGTGTGTGGTAGGGTCATGTTGACTGGGAGTGGATAGCTTTAGGCTCTTCAGTGCAAGTCTTTGCATTCTTAAATGTTACCCAGTTACTCTGGTTTTCACCAGCTTAGACACTAGGATGCAGCCCAGAATAACCAAGGATGAGCCCGAGCATAGCTACAGGATGCAGAGCAAGGCTGTTTCCACCCGAGCATGTCAGAAATGCCAGAACTTTCCAGACTTGACTTCACACTGTAGCTCTGAGTCTTGCTATGGTGAACTTTCGGAGCACTCATGTCCCACCGGACATGGTGGCTCATGCCACACTCAGGAAACTGAGGTAGGAGGATTGTCACAAGGTCCAGGCTGGCCTGGACTACAAAGTGAGTTCTAGACTAGCCTGTCTTTAAAAAAAAAACAAACAAAAGCAATCATTTTAATATGTCTCAGCAAGGCATATTCCTTTCAGGGAAAGGGATCATGAATTCAATGTAAATAGTGCCTGCTTTTCTGTGCTGACTTGTGTGAAATAAGGGATTTCTGCAACAGTAAGCTAACAGCAAGCAGAGCATGAAACTCTTAAGTCGAGAACCGTTGTGTTTTGTAATCTGCTAGGTGCACTGTGTGTTGACCGTAGGATCAGGATAGCCTATGCTTCACACAGGAGATTTCCATCTAAACCAAATCAGCTCGTCAGAACCATACAGAGGGACTTAGAGGCAAATGACACTGTTGTCGGCCATGCTGTTTGCTGGTTGTGGGTGCTCTGGTGCATTCAGCCATGTTTCTGTGGGTTTGGTTTGCCCTGGCGTAAACTCACTGACAGTGAGAGAGAACTGTCCATTCTTACTCACTGTACAGATATTTTAACTTGATTTTTAAAATTCTAGCATGTCAGTACTTTGGAGCCCATTCTCCTATTTTTCCTAAAATATGTAACTTCTGATATTTTCTTAGCTGTGTGATATGACAGTAGTTGCCTGTTTCTCTGTCTTCTTTCTCCTTCCCACACCTGCTGAGTCTGAAGTCACTGATGAAACGTTTTTGGTGATAATGTACCCAATTAATACTTTCTACCATATTCTGAAAATGTTGTGCTTACGCTAGGAAATAGAATTTTTTTAAATCAGAGTTCTGTCTTAAATGGAAAATACCTGGTCTCCTAGGACTTTCTCTGAGAAATAAAAGGCCTTGAAATGTTCATATTTAGTTTCATTTTAATATGCACTGACACTGTCCTCACAGGTTTATTATCAGATGTTCAAACTATTCTTAATTTTTTGATCAGTGGCTGATAATAAGGTAGTAGTTGTTGTTTTAGTTTGGTCTCTTTGTTTATTGAGAAGCAAAGAGCAGTTGGTATGAACTAACATCCCCATAAAAAATGAAGAATGTGATACTGTAGCATTTATTAACATTGTTTCTTAGCTCTGGCCCTGGGCCATGGGGATCTCAAGATTGGACATAAAAAGTAAATTCTTCTGTCACTGAGGAGTCATTTCTGATTTAGTAAGTTGGAGTTGACATGGGCCATCATTTATTTGGGAAATTTCACAACTGCTTGCCTTTTTGCGAGCAGTAACTGTGGCACCAGAAATGCTTCCTTCCTTAGTCAAGCAAGTGTGCCTCTGGTATCCAAGCACGGGAGAGGCAGAGGTGAGGATCTCAGGTTTGAAGCCAGTTTGGGCTACACAGTGAGCTTGAGGCCAGCCTGAACTACAAAATGACAGCATGCTCAAAGTTTGATTGTAGTCTTGTTACACTGTTTGGGTGTCGGAGGACAGTTGGGAGACTGGTCTAGGAAGAAACAGCAGGAACATTGCATTTGGTGGCACTGATTAACAGTTTGTTGCATTTCTTTGCAGATGACTTGATTGAAAATCACAGTATTTACCTCTATTGATTTGTTCCTGGTTTCCACAACTCTTCTATAATACCTCTTAATTTCCTCTATTAGAAAGTATTTAATTGTTCTTGTTAAATAAGGTCCTGGAAGCACTGATCACAAGAAACATAGAAAATGTATTAGGAACAGCTTGTATTAGTGGGATCTAAACAGAAAGGGAACAGTTAGTTCATCATCTATATTTTAATAAATATTCCAATTGATCTTGTTAAACTCTCCTGTTCTTTAGAAGTAGAAGGCACGAATGCTCTCAAAGGAAGTTGTCATGCCCTACTTTATGTCTTTAAGTTGACAGTGTATTACAATAAAATATTTGAATGCTGAAAAGTTGCCATGCTTTCATTAATGTTATGGCCTCTTTGTTGTTTATTTATTACCCATAATAACAACGCTAAATCCAAAATTGTGAAAATTTCTCATTAGCTTATGATTTTGTTTCTGTATTTCCATGACTGTAAGTATTAAGATTTGCTTTGAAGTACCTGATGTAAACCTTTTAATGTTACCAGTGAAATGCAGCTGGAGCACTGTTGAGAAGGATACTGTGGGTGTGCAGTCACACTTTGTGGACTTCGTTTATTTCATAGCTTGCCTTTACTTTTGGAAGCAGTTTTTAAAGATATAAACACCATTGGGTTCTGTAGTGAAATGATTAAGAAACTGGTCTAGTCTTAGGCATCTCTGGCCATGTGTTTTATTCTCTGTGCCTTGATCTTCTGGTATCAGGGCTCCTGTAATAAGTAGAAGGTATGTGTATTCAGAGTCAGATATGTGGTATACATAAATGTTGATATATTAAACAAAAGCATTTATATGATTTTCGTTACTGTTTACCATGAAGTGTGATAACATCTGAGATCTTAACCTGTATTGAAAGAAGCCATGGAATAACTGAGCATCGTGGGTTCTAATTTCCATTGTCACCATTTAGTGAAAGTGGTATTTGAACAGCTTTCCATTAAGCAGCTTTTGATTCCATGCTGTCTTGGTACTATAAACAGTAAGGAAAAACAGCTGGCGTCTAGGAACCTATTTTAAGTTACCATTGCACAGTAGAGAGTAATAGGCGGTAGCAGACATATATACTATGTAATGACTCACACATAGACTCGGGAGGTGAGAGCATGATTAGGTCTTGAAGAACAGATGATTCAGAGCTCTGGAGAGTGTGGGTATAGAGATATGTACAGTAGACAGAGAAAAACTCAACCCTCACTCTGTCTAGGGAGGCAAACAAGCAACAGATCATGCAGTGTGTGTATGTCTTAACTGGCTAGAGGACTAAGCAGGAAAAAACATGCTAACATTTCAGATTGGGGAAGGTGGACAGGAGGCTGAAAGGCCTGCTATAGTAACTCGAGATGAGAAAGAAGTAAAGAGAAGGCCAGGGCAGGAAGACTTGGAAACTTAGGAAGGAAAATGGATTCACCTCAGCAGTCATCTGTGTAGAAAGGCATAGAGAGCTACCGGTACAACACATTGTACTTTCATCTGATTATGCCAGAACTATCCTAAAGAACCAGAAATGAGGAGCTTCTGTGGGAGATAGGAGAGAGGGTTGAGAACAAAGCCAGAGACACCAATACATGGCAGTTTCTTCAGGGTCACGGTGCCTTAGGACTGCAAACATTGCCAGCACTAACTGCTGTTTAGAGAGTGAGGGCCACAGAGTTACTTCTCTGGAAGCCCCATTGCCTTAGCTCCTGTTGCTTTAGCCCATGTTTGGTGAGTGCCAGTCTGCACCCTGAAACACTCTTAAGAGTTTTGTGTCGGGTTCATTTTCCATGCCCTTCTCACTGGGCAGTTGGTTTGGGTCCTTGTACATACACATCCATGTGAGCCTGTGGTCCTGGTCATGACTGCTCTTAAAGATAGCCTGGGTTCTGCTCTGTAGAAAGACTAGACTGCAGATGCTGCTTCATGGTCTTTGCTCTGGAACAAAGGACAGAAGGCTTCCTTGGAAGAGCCTCAGCCTCAGTTGGGTCAGGGACGCAGCACATCCATGGCAGCACCACATCAGGTTGCTCCAGAGTGACTTGGGTTTTCTTCAGAGGACAGGAACTCACAGACTGTGAAGACAGAAACTTACCCTAAGATATGTATCCCAAGATGACAAAAGCCCTATATACTTCACATAAAATGCCTCTTTAAAAAGTCTGCGTTACTTGATGTTAAATAAAACTTAAAATTATGTCAAATAGTGCTTTACTCCTCTAGCAATATTTTCTGTAAGCTCTTGATTTCACTATTTTATGGGATTCAGATAAAATATAGCCAAAAATAACATCACAATTAAGTCAGTTTTGAGTTTTTAATATTTCTTATTTACTTGGTCCTTTAGGAGCTGAGTGACCAGGACCGTGACTGCGTAGTGTTGACTATAGTGTGAAAATCCTTCAGGAAATATGAAAGCCTTTTGTAGCTCATTAATACCTCAGGTGTTTAGTGTTAGGTCAGGTGTGGTGGCTCAAATCTGTCTCAGCACTCATGAGGCAGAGGCAAAAAGATCTCTGAGTTTGAGACCAGCCTGGTGTATATAGCCAATTCCAGGTCAGCCAGGGGTACATAGTGAAACTCTCTCCACAAAAAAGTCTAAGGCTTTTCAACCGATATTCAGGTACTGTTTGTCAAGGACAGCAAATGTCATATAATTCATCTGTTAGAACATAAGACATAGACTGTTCAGATATACAGATCCATCTTACCATGTAATCAATTTGACAAAAAGTCAACCAAATGATCTATAACTAGGTTTTTTGTTTTTCCCCATTTTGGGGCTCTATTTGGAAACATTCCTATTTTCAGTACTCAGCAGTTAAGTGACCAGTGGCTATTTTCCTGGAAAGCACAGGTTTCTATCTGACTTTTTGTGCCTGATGATTCTGAAGGCTTGTTAAGACCCTGACATCATTTGGAGTTGGTTTGGTTTAACAACTGCACGTGAGCAGCTCTTGCTCTATGTCGAGACTAGATGGAAATAGTGTCAACTTTTTTGGCAAAAAGAACTGGAAAACCCTTTGCAAAGTTAGTGTCTGTGTGTGCACTCACAGGCAACTCTGGCCTTCATTGTGACCGTAGTTTTTGGTGGTTACATACAGGCTTTGATTGCCTGGTCTGCACAGGAGCTGAAGGCTTGTGAGGTCTAATCAACTAGAGCTGTCCTTGAGCCCCCTTTAGATGGCCTGGGTGTGTCCCTGACCACCTAATTGTTTACTCTCTGCCATGCTCCTTCTTAGTGCTGTTAGCTTATCCACAAAATACTCATTTGCAAAACAGACTTCAGAATCTAGTGTGGGGAGCAGTCTAGAAGTAGTGAAGTCTGAATGCTATTGAAGCCCCTGCCAACTTTCCGAGGGGTCTTGTGCCCCAGTGTCATACTGAATGGAGTTGTATCAAGTTGAACAGTGCCCTGGGAAAAGGCATGTTAAATGCTTGTGCCTTTTGATTACTGTGAGTTGATAATTTCTCAAAACTGGGTCAACAGGGAATGCAGGGGCAGTTCTTTAAATCTGTTAAGGCCTCACCCCCTGGACTCAGGGATAATCTTTGCAGTGTGGTTCTGTTGGATATCCATACTCAGGAATGGGTCCAGGAAACCTCAGACCTGTGCAGAAGGCTCTTGATATCTTTTCTACTGCTCTTCTTGTTAGGTCAAACTTCTCTTGTTGAATGTTGAGAAAGCTGCTCTTGGTGGTGTTAAAATCCTTCCCCTCTTTGGTAAAGCAATAAACCGGACTCAACCAAGGCTCAGGCATTGATTTTGCACATCCTAGTTTAGGTTCCTCAAAACCTTTTTTGCCTCCAGAGCTTGGCACATAAAGCAGAAGTCCTTTTCCTTCAGGCTTTTGTCTTCTTCACATTTAATAAACTTAGTTTTGACCCTCAAGACTGAGCACTGACACCCCCCTCTCTCCCCTCCTTCCCTCCCCTTTCCCCTCTCTCCCCTCTTTTCCTCTCCCTCTCTCTCCTGAAGCAGGGACCCTAGTGAGTCACAATTCCCAGAAGCACCCAGAACACAAGAAATTACCAGGAACGAGGACCATAGCAGTTAAAAATAGTGTCTCTAGCTGGCCTAGTAGCACACACCTATAATCCCAGCACTTGGGAGTGGAGGCAGGGGGATCACTAGTTTAAGATCACCCTTTCTACATAGCCAGAGACTAGCTTGGGCTGCACAAGACCCTGTCCCCTAAAAAATGGTGCTGTATTCGAGTGAGAGAAAAGCTGCCCCGTTCTGTTCCACGCAGATAACCCTTCAGCTCTCATCCTGCAGAGGAGTGTGTGAAGCTGTACTGATAGGGGGTTGATATTCGCTGTTTGTAACAAAAAGGTTGGAAGGAATGAAGAAGTATTGTACAAGACAGTGGTCTCATTCATTGTACCAGACTGATATGCTACTAAGAACCAGTGTGAGAGCCTCAGATGCCAGTGGCATGCCCGAATCAAGCTGTTAATTTTTCAGAGCAGCTTTACTGAGTTAGTTTAGATATAACAGAAACACCTATGAAAACAACACCTAAGGAATTGGACAGAAATGCACCTTCGTGGTTTTTCTCCACAACCAAAATAGAGAACATTTCCATGATCCTCAAAGTTACCTCATGTCCCTTGAGTTCAGTTCCAATCCATCCACCCTCGGCCCAAGCCCCCACTGTCCATTTTGTGTTGCTGTGTATTAGGTGAAATCAGTATGGCTTTTATTTGTGGTTTCACTGAGCATGGCTCTGTGAAAAGCTCATGCTGTTACTTGAGTCCGTTTCCTTCCGAGTAGTGTTCTGTTACTTGAAGATGCTGTTATCTATTGGTGTGGACCTCAGCTGTTTTTAGTTTAGGTTATTAAGAATAAAATGGTTATGAACATTTCCATAATGTGTGTGAACATATAACTTCACTTTTCAATAAATTTTGGTGGTAAATTGCTGAGTCATGTGGTATTTACGTCATAAGATGTTACCAAGTTGTCACAAAGTGACTGTTGTGTCACTTCCCACCGAAACCACACCTCATCAGTGCACACCTATAACCCGACGTTCAAGAAGTGGAGGCAGAAAGGTTGGTAGTTCAGGGCCAGCTTCAGTTACATACCAGGTTTGAGGCCTGTGATACATGAGGTCCTTTCTCAAGAAAAAGGAAGTGCTTTGATTATCAGTCATTCACCACTTACTCTTCCCCAGCCGGAGGACCCTCTGGCCATCATGCTCATGGTAGATCTGCATTTCTGGTTATCCAGCCCGTGTCAGTGGACTCCAATGTGCTCTTGCATTTGATGTCTTTCACCTTAACCTGCACCATGCTTAGTGGGTACCAGTGGTTCTTATTTTAGTGAA